AGAGAGTGGGGTGGGGACCGGGGGTACCTGGTGGATGACATAGATGCCATAAGCAAGCTGCTGGCGCTGCAGGAAGGGGTGCAGGTGGTACAGCAGAAGGCGCAGGTGATGCTCCCGGGCACGATGGGGCACAATGATGGCTGTTCGGGAGCGGGGCTCACACCCTGCGGGGCGGTACCGGCCCCCTGGTTTCACCCGGGGATTGCGCTCCACAATCTCTGCCAGCGATGGCACTGGGTTAAAGGACACTGACACAGGACCCACTGTCGGGAGGGAACGGCAAGTTCAGGGATTGGAGGGACAAGGGGAAAAGAATGATTATCAGGGCCTTGGAATACCTCTGGCCCTAGCAGTCTGGTTCTGGGGTTCAGTTCCCCCCAGAGTCACTAAGAAATCTCACAAGCCTTGGGTTCCGCATCATTGGGATAACTCTACAAAGCCTGGAAGGTGCAGGATCTTTACCTTTGCATTCCACAAGTCTCCTGGGGAGACATCCCTACCCACATTCCCCTTGGCTCTCCTCCTTCCACTGGATGTGGGTTTTCCTGCTTCCCAGAACCCTTTCATGCCCTGTACCTGTATCCAAACTTGTTCATGGCACTACCTTCTGATTTTGAGGTTCTATAACTTTCTCCTGCCTCACAGGGTTGGAAGCTACAATTGGAGAATGGAGAGAACTGGACTTCCAACTAACTAACTAAACCACGGCTTATCTACAAGAGAAACAATTCCTAGCCTGGGACAGGAAGAGCCCCAAAATGGGCAGGTAATGGAAAGCTGTGGCCCAACCCGGGAACCTAGTCTAAACTCCGAATTCAGAGTCCACCCCATCTTAACTTCAGCCCACCTTCAGAGTACATTAATCTGTCCTGCTCCTGCCACTCCATGCCTGCCCAGGCCTCTGTGTCCCCACAGTTTGTCCTTTCCTTCACCTCCTCCTTCCTTTTGTACTCACCTAAGAGAGGAGACCGTTCTGGACAGTAGGGCAGACCTTGAGGAGCTGGAGGACCCCCTGGGGCAACAGGGGCCCCAGGTAGGTGACTGAGGTTACTGTAGACATCACGGGGGTGAGAATAGTCAAATGTTGGCCCCTGATCTCGGCCAAATAGAGCACTGAGGCTTCGGAAGCCTCCCAGTGACAGGTACATCATGACAGCCAGCTGGGAGCCCACAAGCAGGGCCAGCGTGCCAGGCCGCTCCAGCAGCCTCCGTAACATCCTGGGTTGAAGTCTGGGGAAGGAGAGAAGAGAATTCTGGGGGCAGGCAGGAAGAGAACAAACCAGCAGGGAGATCAGAAAGTAGAGATGAAGGTGGTGCCGGGGGTAAAGAGGAAAGAGGCAGAGAACAAGTCACAGAAGGGAACACACAAGTGTACAGTCGTGGAAGGAAAACAAAAAGAATGTTACCACCAGCAGCCCTACAACCTGTTACTTCCAGCCCAAGTTCCACCTCCTCCATTTCCCCCCAAACCACTCCCACCATCTACTCTCAGTCCCCACCCCCAAGAATGCTTACATCATTCAAGTCCCATGTCCATTTCAGAAAAGTCTCTGGAGAACTCCACTTCCAGTTTCAGAGAGGAATAGACTCACGTAGGTTTAAACTGCCTTCTTCAGAATGATGGGAACGCCAGGGGGTCCCGGGGGTGCAGAGATGTGAGGCATTATCTAAAACTGGAAATGTCACAGAGGACAGAGAAAGGCTCCATCCAGCGCTCCCAACAGCGAACCTGGGGCCAGCTGGAACAGAAGTGGTCAAGGATAACCAGCCACCTGCACGGGCAGAGATCAGGATCAGAGTGAAACCGGTTACCCAGACAAGGGAAGTGAGAGAAAGTGATTGGAAAGAAAAGAGGAGGAGCAGGAGCCGCAAGGTCCGTGGCCTTCCTCCCGGGCTACCCTGGAGCAATAGTGTCAGGTTCCTACTTACCCAGGCCACTACCCCCACTCCAACAGGACGGACTTGTTAGGGGAGTGGGGACAATGCAGTTAAAGGAAATATTGTTTTCCCCCAGACCGAAAACCCGTTCAAGGGGCGAAACAGTCATGACAGGACCGTAGAGAGCCCTGGGTGAAGTAGGAGACAGGCTCCTTCCTTCAAGTACCTGGGAGCTTGCTCGGCAGGTGCAGGCAGCATGACCACCTGGTAGCTGCAAGCAAACAGCCCCGGAGCGCGGCGGGGAGTAGGTTGGGGGTGGCGTCCTCTACCTTTTCTACCCTTTCCCAGTCCTAGCGGGGGTGGGGAGGAGGGTTACCGCTGAAGTGAGAAAAGGAGAGGGCGGGCTGGGGCAAAGACGGTCCGGGGAAGCCGAGCGGGCTCACCTGGAGGGGCGTGGTCAGCGCTCGGCAGTGGGTTAAAACTCAGTTCTTTCGGAGCACGCCCATCTCATCCCAATCTCCCTTTGCGTTTGCCCTACGTTGCAAAGTGAGCCCACCCGGCCCCCGTCTATACTTCCACCTGGGACCCGGACCTGCTCAAGCTCGTCTCCAGCCTTTACCCAAAACTTCTCACCCTCCCGACCGCCCGAACCTTTCTCCCGGGCCTCTCTCTCCGCCGTTCCCAGCCTACATACCTGGTCTTCTGCTCCCGTCGTCACCGCCACCCCGACAGCCGGGCAGGCATCGTTGCGGCCATCTTGGAAGCGGGCGCTGCGGAGGCGGGGCCTCGCGTCATGGGGC